GGAACCCTGACTATGTACAGTTATTTGCAGCTAATACTATTGTTAACTCTGGCTTATGTCCCCATGTCCACAAATCAATAGAAAGTAAGAAAGAAAAATCGTCTCTAGCTTATTGCTCTGTACATAACCACAAAACAGAAAAATACCATCTAATTAAACCATCATTTGATTTAGAAAAAAAATCTGTCACTTTTCCTCATCTCATTCAGTCATTTTTCTCAGCAAAAGTTTCAGATTTAAAGAAGAGCTTATAAAATTTGAATGGAAAGAAATGTTCTCCATGAGACAATTACTTGCATACTATACAGGTAAAAGGACCATAATCTCTTTTCTTGGTTTTAGAAGTTACTTTGTAAGTTAAGTGAGCATTGTCAAGCACCAATTTTAAAATCCCATTTTCAAAGATAACCTTGTTGGAGGTGATAGAGAGGTTTTCAGTGACAGAATGTTACTTATTATTTTCAGATTGTATTGAATGTTTCTTAATAAGTCTTGCAAGTAGAGCAAACTGTCTTTTCACGTGACGGAATGTATAAGATAACGCATTCATTTAAGGGTAAGTTGCAAAAAAGAACTGTTGACAAATTCTTTGGTCATAAGCTAGTCATCATGGGATTAAAAAAAAAGAAAACAAAGACATTTCACTCAGATGTACACATTAGCTGCCAGAAACAAGGTTTTATATTTTCATATGATCAAACAAAACACAAATAAACATTTAATTTTACTGAGAAGCATCAGTCTTTCCAGAAACAGTAAAAATTATTGATAATTTAAAATATCCTAAAAGGCCTGATGTTATGTAGTTAGAGATTCAGCTGAGTATTTGTGTATGCCAGGAGTCTTTGATTTGGAAACATTCTCATATTCTAGTTCCACATTTTTGCTCTTTCAATTTCTTAAAATTGTTTCATTTATTTTAAAAAAAAATTTCCTTATGTAATCAGCTTTGGACAGACTGTGGAACCCTCAAACAGATTCTATTTTGATGAAGTTTCTAAGTGTGGGGAATTTAGGTTATACATGTAACACGTTTTATGAATTTACTTTTAAAGTCAAACATAATGAAATCTGTTAAAATTGATAAAAAATTATTCACCTATCAATCCCTTCAAGTTTATAACTGAATTTTGCATCAGAGAAATTCAATATTATTTCAAAAATATGTGATGTACTAAAGGAATTAAGATTTCCCTAGAATTTCCCTTCATGTTAACATGTAGATTTGCCCCTTAGGGCTGGCCCTTACTTCTCAAGGAGAATGTCTTTTAAGAAGTGTGGCTGCTCTGGAGTGTAGCTTCAGTTAATGCATCCAGGCAGCGTGAATATGTGGTATAAGTAGGAAAAATCTTGAGTCTGTTTTGGTAGCATGGCAAATTACGTGCCTGTAAGGCAAGAAAACTTAGTGACAGAACACTTTACTGTACAGGACCTTGGCATCATTTCATGGAGAGCATAGTTTCACCTTTCTGCCGCTGGGAAGAATTATTGAAAATTTTGCTGGGTTTTTTTTTTCCTTCCTGTGTTCGTTATAGTAGTCAATGGTTACTGCGAAAAAATAAAAAGGAAAAGAAAGAATCAGAAGGATATTAACAACATTTCTGGCACAGTGGTAGAATAGAACATAAAGAATATTATTGGAGTTGTAGGATGTTGCTTCATCTGAGGCATCATTTCGCTGAAACCTGATGTCTTACCTGAACTCTCTAATGCAATCATTACATTTCATAAAGATCTAAAATGACAGGTATTAGCTAGCAAATGAAAATCATTCCTTTCTTATATTATATTTATTCTATTATATTACATTGACCTGTATACGAGACCAACATAGAAACCTTTCTTCTGGCAGTTTCTTGTTGAATGCTGTGTGTTGGAGATCACTGTCCCAGCTTTGTGCAAAGCAGTATATGGCAGCTGTTGACTTCACTGGGAACCCAGTATCTGTTGTTAGTGAAGATAAAGGTAATTTTTCAGAAGTGTGCACAGGCTTAGCTCCATCAGAAGTGAAGAACTGAGTGCCAGTTTCGAAAGTGACCTCTGTCCCTTCCTAGTAGAGTGAATGTATGAATATCATACCCCATTATGGTATGAGATTCAGTCTTGGTTGAAGACTGAAGCAATTACAAGGATTAATGTAAAGGATGTACTGATCTAACATCCTCTTCTAAAAAGGATTCATGAAAAGAATTTAAAGGATGAAATTGCAATTCAGATTTTAAAGGAAATGTGCATTTATTTTTACTGGGAAAATTTTGTGTTGTAGTTTGTACATTCTGACTGAACATTGTACGCATTTTAAATAAAAAAAATAGGGGTAAAGTGTTGAAAAAGTCAATGCAACTAATTTCAAACAACTTTGACTGACTTTTATTTTAAAAATGTTGCTTTGCCTTTTATGACCTCAGTTTACAAAAAGAAAAATGCATTTTTTAAAGAACTAAATCACTCAGAAGATCTGTGAACCATTTAATTTGAGTTGAAAAGTTTTTATTAAGGTGAGTGGAGTTACAGTGGCCTATTGCAGAGAGATTTTGAATAACGATCATTGCTGGCATGTTCCAGTTGCAGTAATAAGTAAAGGAGATGCAAAATGGGAGTTGGACAGTGGTGTTAGCATGGCCATGCTTCTAGGCTAACGTAATCTGTTTCTCAGCCAGAGTAGTTTACCTGGAGGGAAACCACAATGATAAATCTATACTGCTCCTGGTGCCCACTTTGCTCAGATCTAGCTGCAGTACCTTCTCAGGACACCGTATTATGGAGCTCAAGGTCTTCGTTTCCTTTGGCAGGGTAGAAATCCTAAAATCCTAAATATCATTAAATATGTACGATATACTAGAAGGGAATTATGGCTGCTCCTAAATTTAGCCAAACTAAAGCATTCATATAAAATAACCACAAATATGAATATCATGCAAAAATTTGTCCTGTAAAAAGACAGCACTGTCGTTAGCCAGCTATATACAAATGGTCTTTGATTCTATAAATACTGATTCTCACGTGAGTTTAAAAAAGCAACTCTACTCACTCAGCATTTGGAGAAACCCATAGACATGTCTGGCATATTCTTATCTATAGAAGCTGAATGTGCCAAACTCTTGTCACTGGACTTTGAAGGACCAAAATGATACGAAGTTGAGTGTAAAGAAAAAAGTTCAGCACTCTACCATCTTAAACCTGGTGAATTAAGGGTCTTTTCTGAATAATAAGGGTACTCTGTGTACATCACATTGCATCCTTTAAGTGTATGTAGATGTGCAACTTTGTGCTCATCGAGATGAAAGAAAAGTCTCTTCAGATTCAAATCTGTCAGCTTCCCTGAGAAAATAAAGCTAATAATACAGTGAAAAACAGTAGTGAGATAGGCTATGAAGAAAAATGGTCCTTAATGCCTTTGGTGGCTAGGCTTTAATTCCTAAGGTGATCTATTACCTGGTATTTGGATACATGCTAGCACCACTTTTCACAATGATCATTTGCCATCTAGAGATGAGAGGCCCAGAGTGTGTTTTGGACTAAGATTACAGTGTCAGTGAATTAGGTTTCCTGGTGTTATAACATCAGCTTTGGAAGCATGACTTGCCAAAAATGTGATAGCTTGGGAGAACCAGATATCTCTCAGCAAAAATGATGTCCTCAGTTCAGACTACAAGCTCTTCTAACTATCTATAAATAAAACAATATACAATAGTCTTTGTGTAATAGCATTTCTTTTTACACCTTTCCTTTTAAAACTTAGGACTAGACAAACAAAAATGCAATAAAAGCAAGTTCAAAGGCCAACACAAAGGCCACACACCAGACTTTCCACACAGCCTTAATTGTAATAGCATTTCTTTTTACACCTTTCCTTTTAAAACTTAGGACTAGACAAACAAAAATGCAATAAAAGCAAGTTCAGAGCGGTCAAAGGCCACACACCAGACTTTCCACACTGCCTTAATTCTTTGCTCAGATATACCAGGAGTGCATCCACAAGGGGACCTAAGGAGATGGTTTCCTCTGGATTATCCCCAGCCCCTGTATTAGCCTGTGTTGTAGAGCATAAGCTTTGTGTCACACCAGCAAATGCCGTCCCTGTCATGGATGCAGCCAGCCCTGCGAGACTGAGAGGGTCTTTCATGACATGGTCAGATGGCCGTTTCCACAGGGTTCACCGGTAGAGCAGTCTGGGAAGAGGGAGAGGAACATAAGCAAATGCAAATGTGACCTTTCCCAGCCTCTGGTGGCTGGAATTCACAATTCAAATACTGTTTTTTGCACACTTTCTTCCGTAGGGTATTAAATGCATAAATCAGCGTGTTTGTATGTTCACCTATATCATTTTGTCTGTCCATGTGTATTTTAATTTCTGCAGCTATACCTGCTATGACTGCTTACCTCCAGAAACACAGCAGTAAACATGGAGTGGAAGAAAGGATGAGATTTATGTAAATTATGATATTAGCCTATTCAGGGCAGTAAGCTAGTGACTGCTCAGCTGTAGGGTGATGTACAATTCTGCTGTAGGGTGACCTGAAAACGAACAATTAATTTATTGAGTTTACATCCCCCTCTAAAGGCATTGCCATAATCAGGGGAATTTACCATTCTGCACCTTACGTGAGTTGCTCCTGTTCATCTTTCACACCTCTTTTATTGGTCTGCCCTACAACAAAGAAGTCTGCAAATTGTATCTTGTAGCTGTGACCGTTTAGAGACAACGGAAAAGAATGTGCTAGAGCAGAAATTGTTATGGTACAGGACCAAGGCAAGTGAGATGTTTGGCCTGCTTTCTAAAGTAGCTAGAGGAAAAAAAAAAGGAAAAAAAAAAAAGAAAAAAAAAAGAAAAAAGGGAAAAAAATATTTCCTCAGGCAGTAAAAAAAGGAAACATTCTCCATTGGCCTGAATGTATCCTGCCGCTCTACACCCGGATAGACCTTGACCTTATCAAAGACCAAATAGTAGTGGAAAGTGTGGAACTGATTTCAATTTGTGTATCATGCTTTCATTGCAGGAATATCAAATTGATATATTTTTTGCCCAGACGTGGACAGATAGCCGTCTTCGCTTCAACAGCACCATGAAGATACTGACTCTGAACAGCAACATGGTTGGCTTGATCTGGATCCCAGACACGATATTTCGTAACTCAAAGACAGCAGAGGCTCACTGGATCACCACCCCCAACCAGCTCCTCCGCATATGGAACGATGGCAAGATCTTGTACACCCTCAGGTGAGCACTCAGCGGCGTGCAGGGCTGAAAGCTTCTCCCTCCTCTGGCATAGTAGCAGTAATTATCAGCGGTATCTTTGTTCTCCTCTGCTGTTTTCTTCCTGATGCTTACCTGACCGTGCTTGACAAATGCTGAAATATTCAGGCGTAAGTACTGCAGAGTTTAAAAAACAAAGTCTTGTCTTTGTAAAAAAGAAACCTTGAGAACTGGAAATAAGTCTGTCTAAATTGTAGAAGTTGGGCTCTTTAGTGCTTGTAATAAAATCAGGATCATGTAGTCCCATAAAACCTGTCAGAAACCTTTCTGATCAGTTAGATGCAGGGCTGGATAAAGTATTTCTAGATTCATGCTAATGCCAAAACTTGATTCTTCAAATAAGTCACTCTGAAAGATAGTCTGTCACATTGCATCAAAAGGGTGAATTGCTGGAGGAAAGGCTTTTAGAGTTTTTCTAATCTTTGTGATACCATCAACTGTATGGTATTAGAAATACTGTATATATTTGCATTAAAAAAGCCTGTGGAAATCAAAATATGTTTTTACTTACGGAAGAGACAAATTGCTCAGAAGAGAGTTTTGCCATAAGCCATATTCCACGTGGCAAACTTTTTCAGAAACATCCCTTTCACACTACATTTTCTTCAGTGATTGTGTTCAGCATATTCTGATCATACTTGCAATTGCAGTTGGGCTCCAATAGCAAGTCTTTGGCAAACAGTAAGAAAGGAATTAAGCAGCTGGAAATGCTACTGACATTTTTAGTACCCTTCCCTTCTTGGGAACTTGCTCCACTGTGACAGAGTTCTTGCTTATTCCAGTAGCCTTTAGCTAAAGGCTTAGATGATTAGGATGTCAACTCCAATACCCTCTTGGTTGGGTTGTTGGGGTTTTTTGTTTGTTTTTTCTATTAAGTCCTTTTTTGGTATTTCAGGGCAAGTTAAGTATCTACCTAATAGTAGTTAGACTTTCATACCTATCACTAAAGAAACTATTTGCTGAATGGACTGCAAAATTTGTCTAAAACAGCTAAAAAATGGGTAATACTTGATTGTTTGAATGATCATTTTTAGTTTGTGAAAGATGTTTTGAGTCCTTTTTGCCCACTTAGTCCTTTTTACACAGGAGAAGCTGTTAGAATGATCATTGTTCATTGATAACACTGTGTAATTCAAAAACAATTTTTCTGGCCTAAGTGAGCACACAGAATTGGTGTGGCATGGAAGCGGTAACTACTGTATATCCTGGTACTGTCAGGTGTTGATTAGTGTTCTGAATTCAGGAGAAAGTGTATGAGGTTCAGTCATGCTCCATGCCTTTCCATCCTCTTCCCCTGCCTGCTTTTGGGTGTGAATGCACTCCTGCTGTAACACTGCAAATCCTCTTCTAGTGCCAGTGCAAAAACACTGTTAAGTTCCTCACAGGTGACCTTCTCCAAGACAGAGGTTTTCTCTGTGCCATCCTAAATCTGAGACACAAACCTTTCCCCATCCAGTTTGTTAGCTTCTGAATTAGTTTAAGAAACAAAAGAAAAAAAAGAGGCCAACAAAGAAACCTCATGCTCCACACTTGCTGCATAAGTTCAGGCATGCAATTAATGTGTCTGTTTCCTGAAAAAGACTGTATAATAAACTAGCACTTAATGCAATCTACCTGGGTAAATAGATTTACTTTGTAAGCTATCAGACTGAAGACTATCTGGTTTTAATAGTCATTTTAAAAGCAGCTCCATTCATAGTGTCCTTTGTGTTAGGAATACCACGTAAAACAAGCT